AGTTTATAACAATTTACTATCTCAAAAACAGTTCATAACAAAAGAACTTTAAATTAAACAATAAAAAAGAGAAACACCGGACCTTTTGGCTGTTAGGGGGGTTCGTCCGAACAGCCCAAGCCCCCAGCCTACGCGGCTGGCTTTATCTCTTTTTTAGCACATTTCTCAACACCCTTCTGATAATTATCGCTCAGAGCAAATGTCGCTGATGTCGCTGTTACTTTTGCATTTGGGTTTCATCCAAATTATTTGATCCTAAACTTGGTTTACTATATTATTATAGAGGGTATTCAGGCAAATCACGTGACCTGTAAACGTAATTACGTCAAGATAGGCTGCTATAACGATAACACTAAACCATTGCCGATACAGCTAATAACAGACCGTGACAAGAACAGCGCTCATTACCAAAACCACACGATCGATTGGCAGAATTGGTGGCTCTACATTCACAGGTAAGTCATTGGTCATTTCATTTCCAGTAATGACGTCATGACTGTTGCGGCGAATTGCATCATGGTATTGATTAAATTACCAAGATGGCGGATGCTTTGAATTAACTACATAGGGCGAATTTCTTGGCGAAATTTGTGTTATGCCTTGGACGAGAATTCTTCTCTGAAGAACCTGCATTAAATGTCTGTATTCTAGAGAACGTTCAAAGAGCAGTTTGAGAAATAAATATGCGAAAGATCGGTAATATACTACTGATTAAACAAAGGTTGTAATTTTGTGAAATAACAAAGAAAAAAAACAAAGTTGCCCAAGTAGAACAATAGACATTATACAAATGCTTCTTTATTCTTTATAGTCTCGCTTGTCGCTGTGCAGAAAAAACAAAAAGTCGTAACTACAAAGTCTTTGGTCTTCAGAACTTYGGGGAGTGTTGGAGCGGTCCTGGTGCTGAGAAGGAATACGCACGTGACGACAAATCAACCAGTTGCTATCCTCACCCTTGTGATGTCAACAACCCTCATGAATGTGTTGGAATGGCGGGCACGAACTTCATCTATAGGATCRAAGGTAAGCTGGCATTATTGATTCAACAATTTGCTCCACGAAGTCGATTATTATTATTCTCAAAAATTTCATATCAAAGGATTGCCCCACAAAAGTTGTCCTTCGTTTGGCAGCCATATATGGTAATCTTACCTTATTTGGAAGTACGATAGGAATGGTTTTTGTCGATTTTCTCCACTTTTAAAGCTTTAAATCGTCTGAAACAGATATTATAGCGAAAACACTTCTCAACAATCGGCCATTTTGTTTGTTTCCATATATGGCATGGATTCGCTAAAGGAAGCCCAAAACGAAAAAGCACAGGGAACCCGAACGACTGACATACAATTCTTTGATATGTAAAACGTCTGATTGATTTTAATATTTAGATGACCCTTGTGTGTCAAACCCTTGTAAGAATGGTGGAAGTTGCAGCACAGGTTCAAACGGTTTTCACTGCCGCTGTCCACCAAATTTTGAAGGCACAGAGTGTGAAARTGGTAAGTTGAAAACCATCAAAAACAATGAAAAATTCAAGGATTTATATTATTATGATGCCTTCTTTTTCAGATGTGGACGAGTGTTTAAGCAATCCATGTAAAAACAACGCTGCTTGTAAAAATACTCACGGAGGGTTTGAATGCGCATGCCCACAGGGATTTAAAGGAAAGCTTTGTGAACACTGTGAGTGTGATAAAGGAGGAAATAATAAATGATATCTACCATTGTCCAGTGATAAATGATATTAAGTTAACCACTGTCCAATAATAAATGTTATCAAGTTGATAATTGTCCAATCATAAATGATATCAAGTTAACGATTGTCCAATCATAAATGATATCAAGTTAACGATTGTCCAATCATAAATGACACCAAATTAACCATTGCTCAATAATAATTATATATATCAAATCTATTATGATCTAATAGCAAGATTCAAATATCTATCATAATCCAAAATCAACCGTTATTAAATCATGTCGGTTTGCTTTAGCATGTTACGCGCCAGTGGTTGATTTGTGTATATTGGTTGACTCATCGGGAAGCATCGGCAACAATAGGTTCATGGCCATCAAGAGATTTTTGGCAAGTACCTTTTGTATATACACCTTTTTCTTCAGCTAGGCCTTCATCTTTCCCTWCTTAATTCCACTCCATCTTTCTATCGTTAATTCGTTTCTCCTTTCCTTGCTCCCTCACTTGCCTTCTCTTCTTCTTCTTCTTACTTCGCTCCATACTTATCACTTAGTTTCATTTATTTATTCCCATCTTTCTTTCCCTCGTCCTTACCTCCCATACCTTTCATCCCTTTCGTCTTTCTTTCATTCCTTCCCTCCCTTCCAACCTTCCTTTCAACTCAACCTTTCTTTCACTTTGCTTCCTTCCTTGACTCTCCCTTCCTCACTCATTCCTCTATAGTATACGCTTCGAATTACTTCTTCCCATTCTCTCTTTCGAGTGCTTTAATCTTTCAATTAGATTATTCACATTTTTAAATCGCATATCATAATCTATTCCAGTTGTCTTTAGTGCATGGTCTAGACGTGTCTCAAACCACAACTCACGTGGCGACCATCAACTACAGYAAGAAGCCAATCGTTCATGCACGACTCGACGATCCCCAACTTTACCACCCAATATGGCTCAAGCTAAGCATGCTWAAGTTRCAATTCCTTGATGATGTGACCAGAACCGATCTTGCTSTGAAGATGGCTGATAAGGAGATTTTTACCCTTGGGGGTGGGGACAGGAGCTCTGCRCCTGACGTCWTGGTAGTGATTACCGATGGAGTKCACTCAAASGAGAGCGCAGCAATCAAGGATGTAGTCAAGCCTTTGAAGGCAAGATGCTTATAATRATGACTAACTGAGACTTCATGACACGCGCTTTTTTCTCTGATCAAGAGAGATAAAAARGGCTTGTTCACTTTTCTTGATTTTCCCTGCTTTCATTTTCAGGATCGAGGTGTGCGCATAATCGCAGTTGGAGTCGACAAATCCGCTGCCCGYAAAGAACTACAGGAGATCGCCTTGGGGAACAAAGACAACGTTTTTATTGAGGACGACATCGAGAAAATTCCTATTCACATGCTWTTGAAGGCGATAAAAAGCACTTGTTGAATATCACATTGCCAACGTCATTCACCTTGTTCTATTAAGCAGCATGTCAAAGAGAGAGGATTATAAATAGGCAGTTTTAGAAATATAGAATATTAAATGGGAAACATTCTTGACCTCATGTGTGTTATCAGTTGTTGCATGTCATGAAAATTTCATGTTTCAATGTCTTTCTATTTCAATGGTATCCCTTCACGGTTCCCTTCGACATCTTGAAAGGTAGCCGTGCCTTTTTTGCATCGAAGCGAGACGTCTGGTGAGCGTGCAATGATAGAAGAAACCTTCCTCCACACCTACAATTATTCACAAGTATCTATCATTGCACGATCAACAGCGAGGGCGGATCCAGGGAGGTGCAAATGGGCGCTGTAGTCCCACCCTCTGAGCAGAAAAAGTGAACTGATTTTTATTAATTTTCAATTTCAGAAGAGATAAATCCCATTTAGTCCCCCTTAAAATTTCAGCTGGATCCGCCCTTGAACAGTCTTCCCGCTTTGATGCAAAGGCACGGCTACCTTTTAAGATAGCGAAGGAAACTACAACATAATCATTTAGAGTCATGATTTGGTTATTCATACTCAGTTTATTGTAAATAAATATATATCCTCGATTATCTAATAATTACAAAAATATATCTTCAATYCTAAAATATCTTTGATCACTATTTTTTTTTCTATCGATATGTATTTGATAGCACGAAAGTACGAAAGAAAACACGAAGGTAAGGCCCAGTTCTCAATACAAACTAAGCAGAAACAGAAGAAGGGAATTTTTTCAGACATGTGAACCGGGTAAAACATAAACAGAAGCACAAACACAAGAAGAAATTAAAACTTTTTCATTTCTCTACGTTTGTGCTTTTGCTTATTTATAAAAATTATCAGTGTGAACCAGAAAAAACAACATTAATGTCAGCCCTTGCTTATATGTCAAGTGTGAACCAGCTTCTGTTTTTTCTTTTGCTTATGTTGTAGTGAGAACCGTCTCTTAACACTGAATGCGRTAATAAAATTGATTCAATCATTTAAGTTCGTTAATGTTAGGATATATGATATACATATTTACACCATTGAAGCAAATTAAAGACAAAATACGTACTCATTTTTCATCATAAAACTCGGARACTGTTTTGTCTTTTAATTCGCTTCAAAATTTCTGATCAATCAAAAGTTTTCTTGTATTTATAACTTTTGAGCACGTGCTAATCACATGGCATGTTGCCCATTGGCCAATCATTTTCTTTTATTTGTTCTGGCACGTGCCAGTGCACGTGACACAAGCATTTGTGCCTCAAGTTCTGCTTTTTCCATGACAGCAAGCTCATCTTTTGTTGCCGTATATGGCGTTCTTGGTTGTGACGYCAGACGTGAGACCTTCACACCACGTGGTTTGGAATAGCCATTTGAGATTCCATCAGGTTCATCACGTGACTTTTCGCGCTCAAATCTATCTACCTGCTTTTTGGCGCTATCAAGCATTGTTCGCGCTTGAACGTACGGGTCTTTAGGCTCTCTATTCGTACGGGGAGTTCCTATATACCTCGGAGATGTCCCTAGACTTCGTTGKGTCGAAGTAGCTGAGGTAGGACGTGTGTTAGTAGGAGTGAAATTGACAGGTGGAACACCACTCCTTGGATAATGCATAGGTTCTTCATAGTGCCGAGGCTCCCTYCTTGCATATGTTGACGAGGGACTGGAGCGAGCTGATGAAGGCCTAGTACCACCCTGCGGAGCTGGACGTGAGGCACTCGGTCTGCCTCGCGTCGTACTCTGTGGGTGTGGTCGAAGTATATCACTTGGGTATGGACTACGTGCATATACCTTTTGCGGARTCACAGCTAATGGTCTTGTGAGGTATGACTGAGGGGGGTGGGCTGGAGTGAATAGTGGCTCTTCATAAAGGTTTTCCTGTGCTCGCGGGCTCATGTCATGAGGTATTGGTTGTTCGTGTAGGGGAACATGCAAATCAGGACCTGTAATAATATCAATTAACACTAAAAGAGCAGCACTAAMGACAGAAGGTAGTTGTTATATATAAAATAACAGAAAGGAGAAAATTGTTTTACAATAAATTTAGAGCTCGTTAACAAAACGGCCCTCATCTTGAATCCATTGTATTCTAATTGACATCATGCACTACAGGAAGTTGTGTTTTGCTACTTTCCCTTTCAATGTCATTTTTCCGACCTTCGATAACTATTCAATATTCCTGGCATGCAAATACAAGATCATGTATTCAAATTAAACCGAACAAACTGTTCGTCAAAGTATCTTACCTATAGGTTGATACAAATTCTCATCATGATCTGGTTCGTCCTCYAWAACATCGACCAGTTCGGATTCTCGGGGGCTTGTTAAGTATTCCGCTGGATGTACTGCAGGCTCAGTTATAGGTGAAATTATGGGATAACCTCTATGAAGCATATCGTGAACGTATGGATTTTGAATTTGCTGGTGGACCACCTTAAAAWAGAATATCTTAAGAYGTGAGTCGTTTTCTAAAGGTTCAARTTATTATAATAAATATTATTAAGTTACCGGTTGAATAATAGGCTGAGATGTGTAGACAGGTTCTTCGTAATCCTCATAATTACGTGGTCTAACCGTGACTAACTGGACACCAGTTCCATCGTTTGTTACCCAATTRGATTCACGCAATGCATCATGGGCTACTGCTTTTGGAACGATACCGCTGACCCCTACTTGGCTGACTGGTTGTGCATTCTGAGAAATGCATAAAAATCACATTTATTAAAATAACTGGCATAGAGTTCAGTGTTTCTTCCTTTTGATAAAAACCGACCCGTACATGTACCTTATGTGCTTTTCTTTTCTTTTTTCTCAAACGTTCAAGCTTTTTCTCGAGCTGTTCTTCCTCTCTCGTGTGGTCTTCTGGGTAACTATCAGAGCCACTGCTATCGACTGATGTGYTTGTGCCCACACGATTATGTATCCAGCGGTCTTTGCGGAGTTTCTTTTTCCTCCTTGAAGTTTTGAATGACAACAAGACGAACAATAAGAAAAGAAATGTAACAATGAACAACTTAGAGAGAAAMATACATATTCTTTGTTTTCAAGTTATTTCACAGCGGCCATCTTGGAGGAAATTAAACAAAGGATTATAAGTATCTATTGTTCATTCCCGTCTAACATGGCCGCCATTCTTTTATTTTTGAATCTCGTGGGATTGGTAGAGAACGATCAATATGTGAGGAGGCGTTAGTTACATATATTTCAAACAAGAAAGTAAAATAAATTCCACATCAAAACYATCAAGAAAAGCACACCATTAAGGTGTTTGCAAYCACGAATCCAYGCCACCAGTAACACAAGTGAACAAGCAAGCAAAATGATAATTATGTTCCGCTTACATTGCATCCAAGGAAGCTTCCGTAGAAACCTAAAAATCAAATCACAAAAATAAAGTTCAAACTTTATCAGTGCAACTATCAGACAATTTTGAGCATACCGAATAAGTTTTATTAATAATTAATAATGGCGTCATTTACTACAACTACCAGAATGCTTTGCCAACTTTCTTTTGTAATTCAGTGCCAACTGTTCAACCTCGTTCCGAGGGCCTTATCCCTTCGCCTGACCCCAAGCAAAGGGATAAGGCCCTGGGAACGAGGTGGCCAACTTTTTTCTTAATCTCCAAGGGATTAAAAATCTCAGTGAATAACAATGAAAATGCGCAAGTCTTTCTGGTGGTTGTAGTAAAGTTACGACTTAATGCAAATGCCCTATTCAAATATGGATCAAGAAGATTAGTTTAAAAGATCTAGAACTTGTTTTATGCCATGTTTTTGGATGTGCGCCGCCGAGTTGACTGAACAGCGGTATTCCCTTTTATGACGTCAATACCGTTACCTCATCGCGGTCGTCGYTAGTCTTCGGGTCGGTTTCAATGCCGCGTTGTTGTTTAAGTTCTTCTTCTTTTCTTCGCTCCTTTTCCCTCATATCCTGTCGGACTTTCTCTCGTTGTCTTATCTTATTTCTCATACGTTCAACACTCGCCTAAGAAAAGACGGAATTTTGGCTTGGTTACGTTTCAACATGGCGCTGTTATAACTCACTCCAATCAATGTAGGACTCCGTGGCGCAATGGTAGCGCGTCTGACTCCAGATCAGAAGGCTGCGTGTTCRAATCACGTCGGGGTCATACAATTCATATTTTTTAGTTATTTTCTTTAGTTACACTTTGATTTATCATAAAGAAAAACTCAGGAAATTCCATATTTTTCACTCGACCTATTTGAAGCCTGAGTATTTCAAACTTTAATCTGTATAAAACAGGTTTTATAAACTTTTATTTGTTTTTTAGCTCGTTTAGTGACAGGTTTTTAATGTTTTTAAAATTACCTTTGTGAATAGCTCTTCATCAGAGCTTTTAGTGTCACCGTTTAGATTTGAGTCTTTATAAGGGTTAAACCACATCAGTCGTTGTCTCTCACCCTACACAGGTTTAAGACAGTTTTAGACAAGTTACGAAACCTTAAATTCATAAAATAAACATTTCATTGTCTTTTCTTCTAATGACGTCATCTGTATTTTTGGCGAAGTGCATCATGGTATTGATAAAAGAATCAAAATGGCGGATGTATGAGAAGAACTACAAAGGACGAAGTTTCTTTGCGAATTAAATCTATTAGAGGTCGAGTATCCTTAAGATGAGCATTAAATGAGGTGCCTATGCACCAGTGTATGTTATTCCTGTCATAGAAAACCATTGATAATTGCTTTTAAAAAAACAGCCTGAGAAACACGAGAAGCAAAAACGAGAAAAAACACCGCTCAGTTTGGACTTTCATCAATCCCATGGTTCATCTCGCCGAAGTCTTTAAAGATTAGAACCACAGGTAATAGTTTAAAGTTAATATTATTTCAACATTCACGAAAATTATGTAATAATAAGCTCATTATCATCGCCATGATTAAGATAATGTGAAAGGACTTAATGTAACTTGACTCCGTGGCGCAATGGTAGCGCGTCTGACTCCAGATCAGAAGGCTGCGTGTTCAAATCACGTCGGGGTCAAATTGTTTTTGGTTTAACGTCTTTTTTAGTCATTTATATTTTTCCTTCCATAGTGGAGGTAATATCTCCCATATTATTAAAATCCGAATGTAGATTCATTCACAGAAAAGACAGCAACTTTTATTCAGTCTAAAAGAATTACTTCACATCGTAACATACCTGAGGCAATTTTTTCTTGGACTCGCCCCTCCCTGTCTTGTCCTCTTCCTTATCATCAGCATCTTCCCTCGTTGAAGGAGACCCTGCAGCCTGTACGGGGGGTGATGTAACAAGGGATGTTTGCACCAAGGGGGGAAGGCTGGAAAACCGAACTGGTATTCTCTCTGTTTGATCGTCTTTTGCCTGTAAAAGGTTCTGGCCTAGTCTGGGAGCATTCTCTATTACGCCAGCCATGTTTCCCATCTGAAGGAAGAAAGTTCCATTAGAGTGCAATACGTTAACCATAAAAAAAAACGTTTCATATTAATATTAAAGTTGAATTAAAGGGYTTACCTCAACRTTCTCGTCTTTCTCYCTTTTCGTTTGTCTTTCTTTCTGCCTTCGTTTTGACTTCCTGTGTTTGCTTTCGTCCCTTCGTAATCGGCGCTCTTTAGCGTTACGAATCTCAACGTCCGGTTCGCGAGGGATAGTGGGTAATGGTCGTTTCTGGAAATAATCTCCATCGGACTCGCTGGACCTAAAAATGAGTTTTAGAAGTTTTAGCAAATTTTAAACTCATTTTACAGGTTTTAAACTCGTTTCAAACTTGTTCTGCGCCGTTAAAAAACTTCAAACTTCGCATTTTGTTTCAAACGTATTTTTTAAATTTTTAAAGAATTTATAGAAGATGTCTTCCATGTTTCCATTCTCTGTTAGAAACATGCGGGGTTGTTTAGAGAACACAAATGTTTTATATCAGGTGGTATGATAATATTATCATGTTATGAAATTACYAAGAAATGACTCCGTGGCGCAATGGTAGCGCGTCTGACTCCAGATCAGAAGGCTGCGTGTTCGAATCACGTCGGGGTCATKCAACTTTTTTTAATTTTCTTTTASATTTAGTGCAAAACARCGAAACACCAGTCATTTCTCGTAAGAAAACTTGTAAAAGATTGAATGACTRTATTTTCACAAATGATTGTAGTAATTTAGTTCTGTTTTTCAGTTGTTATTCCGTACCATTTCCTTCCCTTGTAGACGTCCCTTGGTTGGGATGGACCGGCAACAACATACGGTGATGGTCGATTTTCTTCCATTTCYTTAGATGGCGCCTATTGAAGAGGTGTTGGAATAATTAGATTAACTAGTTTTTAATACAGTATATTAGAAAAATATGGATTTTCCAACGAAAACTCAATTCCAATCACGTTCAATACACAGTATGTAACTGTATACCCGCACTGGCATCACCATTCACGACTTTCCATACTCAGGTTCAACGTCCACGAACAAAACATTGAACTGAGGCGTCAAGGAACAWTGAGCACAGTTCTTTTTGTTTTCTCCAAAAATTGGTCAGTTTAGCTAAGTATAAATAGCTTTTATTATAGTCATAACAATCAATCATAGTAAATAATGATTGCAAATCAGAATGAATGATTTGTTCCAGTTTTTAAGCTTTAGCAATACCTGTACCGTTAATAGGTCATGCTAATAAAGCTTTGTTGWACCTTATATACGCGCTGTACATTGATGCTGTATGGAATACAGAGAATACAATRATCGCCATCATTATTTCATACCTTAGTTTGCGTGCTTTGTCTTATCCTCCTTCTTCTTCTCGAGGCGCATCTAATAAAAATCACCAGCAAAACAAGAAGAACTGCAACTGATGCAGCAACAGCAATGGCGGCAATAATCATGCTCTGCTTGCTGTCCGAGCGTGGCTGTGGACTTGGTTGGATGGACGTCAATGGCGCTGGTCGAGTCAAAACCTGTAATTTGAAAAATGATGCCCTTTCAGTTCATCGGGTATCGACTTTATTTGAGAATGAGCACAATAGAGGCTAGCTCCCACTTACCGGGTGCTTTAACGTATAGGACATTTGGTTTACGGACAACTTATTGCTCGTTTCTGTGACCTGCGCCGCAGGGACAATCTTGTTACCGYCCAGTATTCGATAATTGAGATCGACGTTTTCACTTTCATCGGTAGGAGTTCTCTTAATAGATGTAACCTTCAAGAAAAATAGAAGTCGATTCTACTTAAATTAAGAAAAACTATCTAAGGTCAAGAGAATAAAGGAGAAAACATTTAGAGTAAGTTATACAAGAAACTGGGAGAGTGGGGACGAGGTGGAAATGGAGGTAGAAAAAGGACAGACTGATCAAAAATAAATACAAAGAGAAGGGTAATACAACAAAGAATAAGAAGAAACAACACTGAGGAATTGCCCTATTTCATTATGATGTCACAGTATGTTTACATCGGAAAACGATGCTCAAAAACAGTGGAAATTTGGACCCATTTATATTGTCTACTAAAGTAGAACTTCAATGAATCGTGTTTTGATATATATCATGTATAAATGATTGTTCATGTACATTTTATTTGATATGTAGTCACTCTGATCCCTTCTGGCGACCACAATCCTTAGCGTTAAAAGAATAGAATGTTTTGATGTGACGTCATAATGAACTAGGGAAATTGTGCAAGAGTCTGCTGCATTCATACAAAGAAGATGAACAAGGTTAAGAAGAAAAGTACATCAAGAGATTAAGACTCATAAGACGAATGGGGACAAGAATATACGCAGAGGTTAAAGTAGAAAAAGGAAGAAGACGATGAAGAATACAGAGAAACATATAAACATATAGGTCAGGCACTTGGGACAGAAGAATARGAATAGAGTTAGAACAAGACCTTAACCCAAGAAGGAGATTTCCAGAAAGAAGTGATCAAAGAACATAAAGTAAAGGAAAACAGAAACAGCAGAAGAAGAAAACGGTGAAGAGGTGWAAAATRRATAAATAAAATAAAACAGTAAACCCACCTGTGCGCGATAATTGTCAACTGCTCTTCTAGATCGCTTTTTAACGGGCWGTCGAAGTCCTAACTGAGGAAGATGCTTATTATTTTTTAATTCTTCCATATAGTTTTCCATGATCACATGTAACGCTTTCTTCYTTCTTTCCTTTCTGAGGTCCTTCAAATAGTTGTCGAGMTCTTGCTGTAAATGATTGGTATCACTGGTAGCATAGCGTCTTTTACGTCGAGCTTTTACGTCGAGACCAAGTCTTTGAATGGAAATTTGAACACATTGTATACATCAGCAATAGAATATCAATATATATTATTCGTATCTATATAAAATTACATTGTTTAAAAATCGAAGAATCTATAGGTACAGTAGGAACCTACTATGCATTGACATTGCACTGAGAGAAGAAAAGAGATTTACAATAACAGAAAAAGGAGGAACGATTTCTAGTTCTATATCCATAAAATTTTAATGATTATAAATGCCAGTAACTACACATTCTACATAAAATTGTGCACGCTAGATTTAAAAACAGTCCAATGCTRCAATATTTGACCATTAAGAGCATTACCTGAACAAATCAAGCACCCTAATCTCCATCTCAGCCTTGAACTCATCACTTTTAATATCAAAGCTGAGGGGAACGAAGATTTTCAAAGTCACAACTTCTTCAGTATCATTCACGCTTGGCCAAAACGCCGATGAAGTCGCAGGTAMCTGGCTTGTGGGCGAAGGTTCTATACTTAATATAGACGATGTCTTGGACGAGGATGATTGTGTGACATGCAAAGATTGCGTTATTGTTGATTCAACTACAGCAGAACTTCTTGGAGATGGAGATGGTGTTACTAAAGACTGGAAAGAAGTTAAAGCGGTCGATGGAACTTTCCCAAAAGATGTAAGCGATGAATACGATGATTTCGTGAAAAATGCCGATGACGTGACATCAGATCCAACCGATACAGAAGATAACGGATCCGTTTTGGAAGAATGAGAGGACGATGCCGATAATATTGGGGTAGCTGATTTCGTGATAACAGTTGATTGTTCAACAGCTGATGTTTTATACAACTCACTAGAGGACACCGAGGCATATGTGCTCCTTGGAGAAAGAAGGGTCGATGACAAGGATGTCAAAAGAGTGGCAGCGACAAAAGATGACTTGCTCATTGCAAATGTACTGTTGGGACTGACAATAAATGGAAAAGATGACGTACCGACGATAGAACTCGCCAATAATAAACTGCCTTTTATATATGTACTGCTGGGATGGGTAATCAATGAAGATGGTGAAACTACAGTGGTGTTCATCATCGATGTGGTCAAAGCATGTGTAATGCTAGAACTGATACTGAGTAAATAAGATGGTGTAATGATAGTGCTATAAACCACAGTTGAAGACGTTGTCATATGCGAACTGCTAGAATCGATCGTGACTGAAGAAGATGGTGCCACCGAAGTGGCATTAACAATCAAAGAAGTCTTCATTACATATGTACTGCTAGGTTTTAAGCTTATGGAAAAGGATGATGCAAAAACAGTAGAATTAACCAACATCGAAGTGCCCATGACATGTGTACTCCTAGATCTAATGCTGACTGATGAAGATGGTGAAACTATAGTAGAAGTGTTCATCACATGTGTACTGCTAGGACTGACGCTGATGAAAGAGGATTCTACAACTACCAATGTTGAAGTGTTCACCACGTGTGTACTTCTAGGTCTGATACTGATRAAAGAGGATGATGCAACTACTAATCCCGAAGTATTCATGACATATGTACTTCTAGGACTGATGCTGATGAAAGAAGATGTTGCAACGGCAGTAGAATTAAACATCATTGAAGTGTTCATGACATGAATGCTGCTAGGACTGATTATGACGGAAGAAGATGGTGCAACGGCAGTAGAGTTAACCATCATCGAAGTGTTCATGACTTGAGTACTTCTAGGACTGATACTTATTGAAGACGATGGTGCAACGACAGTACCATTAACCATCATCGAAGTGTTCATGACATGAGTACTGCTAGGACTGATGCTGACGGAAGAAGATGGTGCAACG